GACAGACACACACACACACACACACACACACATCCGCCCGCCCGCACATACACACACTCACACACACACACAGAAAAACAAACAAACAAACAAACAAACACACTCACATCCACACCCACAGACACACACACACATTCACATGTATCTGTGGCAAAGCCTTACCGTGGAGAAGAACATGTTGTACGTGTAGACCAGGCCCTCTAGGAAGTGACGTCTGTACAAAGCTAGCACAATGCCAGGCAGGAAGCCAAGATTAGACAGGGTCAACAAATAGACGGCCATATTCCGGCTGCTCTCACTCGACGCGCCACTGCCATCGTTACAGCCGTAGCCACGCCAGCCTGCGGTTCAGTTTTAGTTTTAGTACAGTTTAAGTGAAAGTTTGGATAAAAAATAAACGGCGAGAGCTGATTTTCAGAATCAGTGGTGCCCCCACGGTTGCCCCAACCACGGGATAGAAGAAGAAGAAGAAGTTAAAGTTTCACGACTCTTGCAGCACAGACAGGTCTTATAAGGGCCGAAGATTAGATGTTTGTTTGCTTTGTTTGTTTGACAACCATGGGATAGAAGAGGAAGAAAAAAAAGCTAAAGTTTCACGACTCTTGAAACACAGACAGGTCGTATAAGGGCCGAAGATTAGAGGTTTGTTTGTTTTGTTTGTTTGAGGAAAGAGAAGCACATCTACACAATAATAGTCATTTAGTACTGGGAAAAAGTAAGACAGACAGAAACAACAGAGGGGGAAAGTAAAGAAGTAAGACCTACCAGCGGTGCCCTCCAACTACCCACAAGATTAAGATGTGTTACTACAAAAGAGTAACACACAAAGAAAAGAAGGAGGAGAGATAAGGACGATGGGTACTTTTACAGAAAAAAAGGAGCACACCACACGAGAGCACCCACCAACCATCCACCAGCCTGTGGTTGGAAGTTAAGTTGCAACTTACAGACATTCAACACAGTGCAAGCCAACCATTTCACTACCAAGCAGAAAACGACAAAAGCAATAATACATTAGAGAGTCCGAAAATGACAAGGGGACAAGACACGCCTAAAGGCCCGGTTACATGTAACGATAAATTGTAAAAAAAAATGGACAATCTAGCAATCATACGATAAATCGTTAGGAGTAACCACAAAATTGTACAAAATTTGGACGATTGGACGATGGCTTGAAGACTCAGTTGAAAAATCAAGTGCAGCTTGATATTTTTTGTGCGATCATGTTCAGATATGGGGGAGACGCTCTGTGACGTAGAATTACTTCGAAATTTGCTGCAGCGCAGGATTAAACTTAGGGCACAAAATTCTAAAAATAATTATCGCATCTTAAAACTGATTTCATATTCGGTATCAGCGTCTCAAAATAAGCAGAGTAGCTCTCTGGGAACCAGATTTGAGGCGAAATTTTGTAAATGTTAGTAATTTTATTATCTAATTGATTGTCAATGGTGAAGTTGTGCAAGGTCACTCGGTGTGTTGCACATCTGCAGTTAAGTCAAAGCTTCTCTTTCTACACACAACACGGTACAGTATGGCCTCCCTTTTCTATAGACACTGTTCTGCCATATCAAAATGTAAAGCAGAAAGGGGGGGGGGGGCGCTCGTGATCTAAAGGTACAGTATTCGCCTTTCATTCATTAGATCTCAAACTCTAAACATTCACACGGAGTGCAGGTAAATCGCTGTCGTTGCAAAGAGACATGGTGGCTTTATGACAAGGAATCTCCTCAATCGAAAAAAAACTGGACGATAGATTGGAACGTGTAAACAGACAACATAGTTCGATAAAATGGACAGTTCTCGCATACGACGAATCTGATACGTTTTATCGTTGCGTGTAACCGGGGCTTAAGAGTTGTGAAATATTAAAAGGCAATAAACAAAACAAGATAGAATTCCTCATCTACACCTAGCATGAAGTCACAGACGCTTTTCAGTCTTTCAAACAATTCACATTATCAAAAAAATTACACTCACATCATCAGTCATTTGGACGACGTGGTCGTCATATGAATGGCACATTATTTTACCAAATAAAATAAAAAAACCCATCTCATTCAGTCTGCTTGCTTTGATTATTCAATAGAATCAGTGAGCTACTTCTGGGCATTCCTTTAGCAGCTGTAGTTAATTTGTGTAAAGACTAAATGTACAGCCTGGGGATCGATAAAGAGACATACCACAAAAAATAGTTTCCCCATTCAAGACTTAACCAGTGTGCTCCTGACAACAAGTTAAAAAAAACCCAACAAAGTAATTCATTGCAAGGCCAGTTCCATAGTATAACAGAGAATACACACTCGCTGACAAATGATGTTCCACATACTACTAACTTCGCAAATATACTCACCGTCATAACAGCTACAGGCTGAGTAGAGAATGTCTGAGCCAAAGTAGAGCTTGCAGGTACCTTGCTTGCCGCAGTTACCATCAATGCAAGGGGACAGCTGGATTGACACATTCACTTTAGGCAGTTCTTGGCATGGGACAGTTGCATTGGAGCTGAAGCAAAGAAACCATTGTATGGAAAATTCAAGGAGAGCACTGACCTTATAAAATAATTAAATGATTTGCACAGTATATGAAAAAAATCATCGACAGTACTGACTTAATTTTTTTTTTTATCAACAATATATTAAATGCAAGGAAAGCAGAAAGAGCTTTAGTCATGCCAGTTATTTGCAAATACCCACTGATCTAGTCTATTAGCAAGAAGCTGAAAACGGCTCTCTACAATACTAATTTTGAGACCACACTCAGAAACTGATGTGACTTCAATCAAAGTCACCAAAAGAAACAGAGGCTATTTTTGTATTTCTAGCTGTACCATGGAGGAGGTGCAATGATTTGTTTGAAAAGGACAAGGAGGAGTGAATCTTGTCCAACAAATAAAGCCTGATCAAAACTTATTGGAAAAGTTAGGCAACACTTGGGTACCCCAGATGAATATTTCCACACAAACATAATATACATTGTAAAGTGCATAGAGTTAGCTGTTGAGCGGGATTTTGCACTATACAAATGTGTCGTGACCTTGTGGAATCAGGTGCTCGTCAATTTTTGCGAATATAGAGTTATTGGTACCACCTTAAAGTTTGTTCACTTATCTTGCTTTTGATAAAAACCGCATCCATGTTTCTTCAATAATTCTGTGTTAATTCTGTCTAGTGTCTCAGATGTTAGAGAAAACTCACCTATCATTCCGGTGGTGACAGCGGCTAGTCAGACCAACATACCAGGTCCCACTTTCGGGATACGGCACACTCACGTGTTCTTCGGCTGCTTTACTGCCCACTGCCGAAGTCATGACATGACCCTCGTGGCACTGAGAGGCGTTTGGCACTTTGTGGGAACTGAGGCACAAAATCACCTCTGACAGATCTGGCAACTGTAAAAAAATATTTAAAATTGTAATCGTAGATATTTTACCTCCCCATTGAGACAATGAAGATCATTTAAGAGGCACGATGGCCGACACTGTCTGTCAGGGCCAGCACGAGATGAGAAGGATACAACATCCCAATAAACAGATGGAGATGCCAGATGAAAAATAGCCCTCGCCACATATGAGAATTTAACATATATCTTCTGCATGCAACGGCAAAGCGTCTAAGCGCTACACCACAGATGCTGGTCTGCCATGGATAGGCACAGATGTACACGGTGCAATGTGGATATAGTGATATGGATATAACATGGACCTTTCAAGGATATGACATGGACCTTCCAACAGAAATTACAAAGTATGGCCTGGATATAAAGATATGATATGAACATTTTAGTAAGCATTTTACGGCACTTGCAACACAATTAGGTAATGTAGTGCCAAAGATTAGAGGTAATACAAGAGAGTAGTAGACACAAAAATAAGAGAAAAGATAAGGACCATGGATATTTGATACGAAAGAAGGAGCAGACCACACCCCGGAGCTCCCCCTAACCACCTAGAGAGATATGGATGCAACATTGACAATCCCAGGTATAAATGTGACATGAACTGACATACATGGACATTACATTAAACAGACACATGCATAAAGTGGACGTACATGAAAATGATTTGAATGAGGAGCACAGGTGACATGGGTGTGACACAAACATGACAGAGAGATACAGCAATGAAGAGCTATTGATGGAGATATACAATATGCAGGCTGCATATGTTTTGTTCTCCATGTAATTGATACCTAATGCTGTCAACCTCATGTGATCAAACCAACTTACTCTTTAACATCTTTACTGTAATGTCATTGTGATCGAAAAGATTTAAAAAACTTCCCAAGATAATGAACGATGGATTTCAAGTTAAAAAAGATGGTATAAAAAATTAATGACTCCTTCATTGATCTGTCAAGACATAAACATGACGGTAATTGATTATAAAAATGTGAATAGTGACTTCATTATCAAATTAAAAGGCGTTTGATCTTAAATATTTCATAGATTCCAAAGAACATTGCAAGAATACAGCTCTTAAAGCTACACCACAATAACATGACTCTGAAACCCTGCTTCCCAGTCTGACAGATTCATCCCCATTTGCATTCTTCATTACTTTAGTATAGAGGTAAGCTTGGGTTGAGGCAGTGGGCCTACCTTCTGTCGCGGGGTGTGAAGCTTCACTTTCAGAGATGAGCCCGTGTCCGTTGTCCGAAGATCGAATCCGACCACAGTGGAAATTTTGTCAGAGACTTCTAAATTCACAGAAGAGTGGCTGCTTTGGTTCTTGTTCCACAACAGGAAGTGGTCATAGAAATTCGACCCTTCTTCCGCTGCAGCTGGTGTCTTGCGGCCCAAGCGAGGCAACATCTGACAAGAGACTGGGCTCACAGAGGAGTTCCAACTGGTCAGCTCACCATTCGACTCCTCGCCCTTTTTGCAGTCTGTGAACAAAGAAATAATGAATTTAACATTTAGTACTTACTGATCAGACATTAAAGAGTGGACTGGTCCATAAGCAAGTGAAGAGAACGTCTCCTCAACGGGATTATTGACAGAGAGACATGAAGAAAAATAGAGATTTTGTCTGTGCTCAGTTCCTCCGACGATGTAAATCAAGGGACGAGAAGTGAGAGAAGTAAAAAGGTCCAAACATAATGACAACTCCATTATGCTAGAGTCTGTTTGAGTAAAGAGACACACATCCACACAATAATGGTCATGTTGTGCAGTTAAAAACTAAAACAGACAGACAGAAACAACAGACGAAAAGGTGGGTATTTTATTCAGTGTCTAAGGCCATTGGCCAACATCACAGAAATCATACAATTTTTACTATAACAAGTAACTTACGTGTAAATAAAACAGCATAATCAAATGGAGTGAAAAGACGTGTGACCTACTAGTAACGAATAATCAGCAGAAAAGTAGAAGGCACCGACACAATGAAAACACACACAGTACTATAAGGAAAGTAAAAGCACAAACTTACACACACACTCTCTCGCTCACTCAAACACACACACACATGCACACACACACCCACACACACTCACTCGCTAACACACACACACACACACACCAGATCATCCTTACCCCCAAACTTAGTTTCTGAGACAATAAAAGTCTTGTCTAAAATTAAAGCTGGAAAATATGGCATGAAAAAGACTCATTCAAGTTTCCACAGACCACATATATCAGAACAATATTCAGAGTTGAAGGATCTTATCAAAATTATTGAACCGAAAAAAAAAAAAGAGTTCAAACTATACACAAAAAGCATAAATCCTTCCACATCCCTTCCATACGATAACAATGTTAAAAATGATCACTGTGTTCACCACTCTTAACACAACAGCAATCTCAACCCCTCTGTACAGTTCAACTTACAGGAGCTGACTAGGCTCACTTGGACCATGAACGGAGGATGGCTGGCATTCGTCGTGAGACCCAGATAATATGTCTTGTCCACCATAGGGGACATCACCTGAAAATGTACCAGAAATTTAGTTTAGTTCAGCTAGAGTTTTACGGCACTCACAACTGCATAAGTGTACCAGAAATGGAAGTGACCACAACAAACAGTAATGCAGGCTAGTCAACATTTTCGAAACCAAATCAGGGACACCCAGGATTATAAAATCGAAGTATGTTTAACCAACATTTAACCAACAAAATTAACTCAAGTGGGACTGGTTTTGGTGAAGTAGGCTCAAATGTCCTCTCCAAACCCCAGGACAGTCCAATGTAATTCAAAACAGTTGGGCATGTCTGGAAATTGAGAACTTGAGGACCATATCTCTGCAAGATCTTTCTCTAATATAGTACAAGCATTAAAAAAATAAAACATCATAATCAGTATTTATAATTTGAATATCATGTGTCTGTCTTTATACACATTCAGATATAAGAATTCTTTGAAGAAAGAAACCTTTTGTCTGGACACAATGGATGGAAAGCACTGCATACTTGAGCCTTTTCAGCCCTTACCTTGTATATATTGCTTATCTACAAATGACCCTGCTCTGATGACGACCACCTGCCTAATACAATCACCTGTACAAAAGACAACTTCCCACTTCCCCCCTTGCATTTTTTACATATGTGAGGCAACGTGGTGAAATCAGGCGCTCTTCAAAATAACGAAATCGGAGAAACAGGCATTTTCCCACCGGTCTGGAAATTTTAATCAAATTTTTATTTTTGGCTTAACCTCTTCTATGCTCATTTCCATGTGAATTTTACAGAAAAACATTGATTAAAGGCACAAAATGTCATTTTTCAGTTTTCAAAGAATCTTTAGCTGTTGGAGGTGGCAAACTTTGTCCGCCATTTTCTCGATAATTTCACCACTGAAACCAGGCGACCTCACTTCCTTCAATTGCAAATATCTTGAGTTCTATTAAAGATAAAGGATATTTATTTCATTAGAAGTAAGGCAAATAAATCAGCTTTTAGATGATACCAATAACTCCACATGCCCAAAAAATTGACGAGCGCCTGACCCCACCGTATCATGACACATAATTATGATAAAGATGCTGTCCGGGGGGGCTCTCGTGGCCTAGAGGTTAAAGTGTTGGCCTCTCATTCAAAAGACCTGGGTTCGAATTTGGGTAGCACCCGAAAAATGTTCTTCTCTAAAATTGTCTCCCTTCACCTCCTTTCCTGCTCTCTAGCAATGTTATGTTGTCTGCTTTCATCTCCACTTTCTGCCCCCACCCCCTCACCTCCTTTGCCCCCTCCTCTGGGCTCCTGACTCTTTCTGCAGCCTTTCTACTGCTACTCCTTGGCTTCTTCTTACTGCTGTCTTTCAGCCACATCCATGATCTTCTGGTAGGAAAGATCTACAGCTAGCCTTCTCGGACAAGGGCGAAAAAAAATCTGAGGGCTTGTGTGCAAGTTGTGCACGTTAAAGATCCCTTGGAGGTCTAAAATCGATAAGAGTAGGCTTCGGCCACCACCCGGGCAAAATTCAAAATTTCCTACCAACTGAAAAAGTTTAATGTGTCGCGTGCGCTCATATTACCTTATGCAGTTGCGAGCGCCATAAAACACTTACCAAAAAAACACAAAAAAAGAGAGATACTGTCCAAGAGGACTACCAGTTAAAATGATCACTTTTTTTTCTTGACAATGGGTGGTCATCTTGAGTAGGTTTGACTGTACATCAGACATGTGCTTATCAAACTTCAGCACTGTGTGTTGTCATTACCTCTACTGTGCAGGAACCCTGACGCCATACACACGGAGCGTAACCAAAGTCCCACATGTCAGGACTCAGCGCGCCCCACACAGACACCTTCACCGGACATGGTTCATCACACTCCTGGATCTCTATGGTGGTGGACACAGCATCTCGTGGTACTCGAAAACTGTGAAAGGATAAAGAAAAACACTGCTGTAATCTGACAAAACGCCTTTTATTTTCATTTTGCTAAATCGAAAGCCTGATCAATTACCCTAATTGTGTGAAAAAAATCAAAGTGAAACTGTGACTAGTTTTTAAATAAATTAGAATTCAAATTTTGGAAGAAAGCCTTTTCTTTCATGGCTACGCTGACAAAATGACTTTTTTCTCGAAACTACAGTGAATAAAAAAAAACACGCTTTGTCAGCCAACAGCAGAAGTGTCAGGCCCTATTCAGGTGAAAGAGTGATGTGGTTACAAAAATAATAGAAAAGCCACACTTGGGATGAGCAAAGATATCTGGGGCCACAGTAATACATATTTCAATGTAATTGTACCTGACGTAACTATAATTTTCTTACTTTGAAACTGTCGCAAAGCATCAGTACGAGGTCAGAAACTTTTTCCAGTCACCTCTATCAAGTTAATCACAAAAGATCTCTGACTGTGGCGTCGGTGGCTTAGTGGTTAGGCCCTCGGACTTGCAACCGTAAGGTCATGGGTTCAAATCCCGTCAGGGGCCCGATGTTGTGTCCTTGGGAAAGGCACTTTGCATAAATTTTCCTCACTTCACCCAGGTGGGGGGATATGCGCTATACAAATGCTATTTATTATTATTACTACTCTACTCAACAAAACCCACACAAGGTATTATCAGAAATAACAGACCTGAGATGAATGCAACAAAATTGTCCAAAACTTTGATCTTTGATTAACCATAAATGTTTAAAACTCCCCATCAACAGGATTAAAATCATGTCTGTCAAAGAGAATCTGGACTAAGTGGAAAATTACATCCCAAGAGAGAAAGAGAGAGATACTTGATAAGACAGATTTTCTGACTTGGGGAGTTAAACTCACACCTTTTCTGTCCCCGTGGTTTTATGCACCCAGCACAATTTTGCAAATTTGATCATGTTTTGCATAAGTTCTGATTATTTTCCTTTATCATTCTCTGTCAAAATTAACAGAATTGCATAACTTCACATTTTGGGGCTCAGTTTGCATAATTTCAATATTTTTCTTGTATAAAACGACGGGGACAGCCTTTTGCATGCAACAATGAGGTGTCTAACCATGACCCCACAGACACCTGTCTCATAACCTAGTTTGTGGCAGTAAAATGTAGTTATTGGTCATCAACTCAAGTAGAAGTGGGCAGAGGGGAAACATTCAACACGAACTGACCTAAATAACCCACTACATTGTAGAGGGAACAAAGCACAGCCTGCAAACTAGCCTACAGACATAGTCTAATCCAACAGTTCAGAAATCTTTTTGATAATTACAGTCATACCTGCTGTAACAACCATCTGTCCAAGACAACGACTTGTACAATTGATAGAAGACGTTGTGGTGAAAATTATGACAAAGACAATCTGAATTCATCTCTCAGTGAGAAATTTGTCTTGTTCGTTTACAATGGCAGTGGATGTACAAAGGTTAGGTGCACTAATTATGCACACACAGAAAAAGACTGAACAGTAATTCTTTCTACCTTTGAAACATCCCCGTTCTGAAAACGTTCTCTCTCTCTCTCTCTCTCTCTCTCTCTCTCTCTCTCTCTCTCTCTCTCTCTCCCTCTCTGTTTCATTTGTAGCACTGTGTTTAGTAAATTCACGGAGGTTGGTACAAATGAATTACTATATTTGCCTGTTCTGGTTTTCTTGGAAACAAACCTTTTACCGCAGATTGTTAACTGAAATTCCAATGTCAGTGGACGGCTATGGTTACTATTATTTCCGCTTTTTAAAAAATCACTATTCAAGTACATATTTACAGACTTCATAAAGAAGAAAAAAGAGGGCATGAATTATAACCTACCTGAGGAGTGTTTGTGTATGTACATCCCCACCGAGCGACACAAATCCTGGAAGACCCTGGGACAATACCGGAATGTTCTCTTCCGGATAGTGCAGAAGCTTTGCCTGAATGTTGAGGAAATAATCACAGGACTGGCCCAGACCCTGAATTGGAACACAAGAGAATAAAACAGCACTATTATAATTGCAAGTGTTTTACACCCCAATCAACACAGTTTAGTCTATTTGTGAAGCAGGCTGCTTCGATCCCGCAAGTCAGGGCCAACCCAAGCTGAGTGGGGCACAACTTCCAAGCAGGCAAAAGGAGATACTTTCCCACTTGGGAATCAAACTCACATTTTCTACATGCAATAGTGACGAGCCTAACCATTAAACCACAGACATTGACAAACAGATGTTACTAGTCCTTAAATCATTGAAAATGTTCATTACATCATGATCATGCATGATATTTGCATCATGTGAGCCATCAAAAGTGTATCTTTTAATGGTAATCAATAGGGCTTTGTTTTTTCTTGGATGGGGGGGGGGGTTGGTTAAAACAAGTACAAACAGGTAAAAGTACCTCCCTTGTTCTACATCTAATAAACCACATCATTTTTCTCTGAAAGTCTCACCTGACTACTCCCCATGTTCACAGCAATAAACCCTTTTATCAATAACCACAAATTAAAAAACTCGAATTCTCTCGTCTTGTAACAAAGGTGAACAACTTTAAAACGTTGCTTTAAAACATTACCTAATGCACCAAGGCATTTTTGCTACAGGACGCTTAGAAATACAACTCTCCTCCCCCACCCTCCACCCCCCCTTTCCCCAAATGCTGAGGTCATTCATACTTGCTGCTTTATCCGGGGGTCTGGGCGTGGCATCACAGCCATTAGGAACAGCTGTCCAGCCTTCAAGTTACTCAGGACCCAGGTCACTGTCTCGTTGTTGCTGGACGCTGTCACATTGAGCACCGGGTCTTTGGGTACAAATGTGTGGTTTGGGAAGCTCTCTCCCCTGCGACTCACCACAGGAAGCCCAAACTGGTTGGCAAATCTGAAAAAAACAAAATTAACAAGGAGGCTTTTTAGTCCAAGGGCAAAGGGGGAGGGGGGGGGGGTCACCTCTCGTGAAGAATTATTCAAAAGAAAAATATAAAAAACAATTCAGTGTTCACACTAAAACATATTTGTTCTTATTTTCTAAGATCTCCACTACTCCTCAACTTAGGGTATATGGGATGGAGTATCTAGTGTGCATGGATAAAAATTAAAAACTCATTCATTGTGAATTATATAATAATGATAAACACCTTCACTGTTAAAACTTCAAAAGTAATTGACCTCCATAGAGTGCTGGACAAAACCCTGAAACAAACCCTCCCCAAAA